CGCTTCGCTCGTGGCGCGCTGCGCGCGACTCGGTTAAGTACGCTACCGCACTTTGTAACATTGTTACAAACACCAAGTCAACAATCACGACATTGACCTGCCACTCGTACTTAACCGAATTCGACCCTTCCGGACGCGCTACGCACGCCGGAACACCATGTTGAGACTTCATTTTGCCCTACCGTGCTATCGCACGGGCCCGGCTATCGCACGGGCCCGGCTACCGCCGGGTGCCCTCGCTGCGCTCGTGCCGCGCTTCGCGCAAAAAAGTCGTTATTCAATTAAAAGATAGACAAGCCAAAGGACTTCGAAACCCAACGGCTATATCACAAGGTTATCGCACCATGTTGGTGTCCTAGTCATGGACTCGTTGACGCAGGACGGGACGCATTTCAATCATCGCTGTTCACCCAGTAGTCCTACTCACAAGCAAGCCGATCCATACCGATAGCAATTATGTGCAAGGCGAGCTGTCCCTTCCAACTACGAAAAGGGCCGAAACCTCGCCCAGTTTCCTCCACACACCTCTTTCAAGTCCACTACATAGTCGACATGGCGTCCCGCTCACAGCAAAACTTACAAATTGTGATGGCAAAAATGCAAATTCAAACGCAGAAAATACGCATGTCTTATCGAAACGACTGCCTTCGTCGTGGACGGTCTCAGAACGGGTTGGAGCTGGGCTGCTCAATGTAAACCCAGAGCGTGATAAAGATGAGGCCAAATGCGATGAGCGACTGGCCGATAAAGTTGCCTTTGTCCGTGAGGCTGTGGTAGCTCCACCCAAAGTACTCTTGGATCGACATGCGGACGCTCGGGCCGAGCTTGGTCGCGATGAAGAGCCCCATCATGAGACTCGCGACGAGGAGCGACGCGCCGTGGGACGTCTGCAGCGTATTGTACGACGCGAAGAAGCGGATCAGCGCCCAGAGCACGCCAAACACGTGCGCGAAAAAGACGAGCACGTTCGGGAGCTCGGTGATCGACCCGCGCGACGAGCTGCCCGTGACAAACCACGACTGCTCGCGGCCCGAGATCTTCCACCAAAACGTCTCAAAGACCGCCGCCGTGTGCGTGAACGCGTATACAAACCACGCCTCTTGGGACCGGACCACGTCGTTGTTCTCGACCGACCGGTTGCTCAGCGCCGAGAGCATGCCTTGGATGAGGAGCTTGGGCACGAGCGCATAGAGGAGGCGGAGGCCGCCGAGGTAGATCGGCGCGTAGCCCGTGAAGAGAAAGTAGAGCGTGATGTAGTAGAAGAGGACGGCGCAGATCGACCCCACCGGGTAAATCGTCGAGTTGATGTAAAACACCTTGCGCATGAAGCGGTTGGCCTTCTTGTACTTGGGCACCGCGCAGTCCGGTCGCTTCCAGTTCGGGTCCGTGTAGTTCTTGCTCTTCTTCATGAGCATGATCTGGAAGTTGCCTTTGGCCCAGCGCTTGCGCTGCGCAAGCGACGACGCAACGTTGTCGGGAATCAACCCTTCTGCGAGACGAATGCGCTCCGACACTTCGCCTTCAAAGTCCTTGCGGAAGTACAGCGCCTTCCAGCCCATCGCGCACAGCTGCTGGCCCGTGTAGCAGTCTTCCGTGAGCGACCCATATTGAATACCGCCGATCGAGTCGAGCGCTTCGCGACGGAAGATGGCGTTCGTGCCCGCAAAGGACGCACACTCGTACCCGTCTTGGCCGGTTTGAATCGCATCGTAGAAGGTCGCGTTGCGGTGGCCAAGCGGATCGCCAATCTGAAACTGAACGCAGTCGCGAAAGTACTGCGGCGTCTGGACAAACGCGACCGTGTTGTCGCGCACGTCGTCCGAGTAGTGCTGCAGCGTAGCAAAGTTGACGGCGGTTTGGTCGTCGCCATCGTGCGCGCGCTTGCACACCTTGCAAATGCCGTTCTTGTCGACCTTGGCGTCGCACGTGACGCAGCGGAGCTCCTTGTTGGGCTTGGCGTTCGTCTCGGTCATCGTGCCGTTGACCTGCCGACGGTGCAGCGCCGACGCCGTGTGCATCGCATTCTCAAAGCACTGCTTGGAGCAGTAGCTCATCTGCTCTTCGGGGACGCCCGCAATCTTGCACGACGCGCAGCACATGCGCGCGACGCGGTTGCAGCCCGATGTGCAGCATGTGAATTGGCTCTTGCCCTGGCGGTCCTCCGAGTCGAAAAAGAAGGGCAATGTCGCCAAAATGAACTTGGGGTGCGGCTGCATGTCGTTGTCGAGGATGATGCAGTAGCGGCCGGACGCGCCTTCGTTGTAGCACGCATTGTTGATGTTGCCGGCCTTCGAGTAGTGCGTCGGCGGCTTGACGCGGCCAATGAACGTGACGTGCGGGAGGCCGCTGTACCGGTAGTCGTCGCGGAACGACCCGACTGCGCAGTCGGCGCGATTGACAACACGGGGTCGCGACGGCGTCGGGAGGTTGGCCGACGAGTGCAGCTTGCGCCAGGCGTAGACTTCCATGTCTTCGTTCGGGTCGCAGACGCGATCGTACATGAACTGCGCAATCTCTTGGCGCAAGTCGCCCGCGCTTTCGAGGACGCCCTTGTTGAGCTCGATGGTCGGCACCTCTTCGCCCTTGGTCCACTTGGTCTTGCAGTAGCCGTCGTCGAGCACGTAGATCTGAAGCAAATGCGGCGGGTACTGGAGGTTCATGCACGCAGCGAGCGTATCGATCGTCTCTTCGGCCGGCTCCGAGTAGTGGCAGATGAAGACATCGACCTTGGGCCACTGCTCGTCCGGGAGCTTGGGCTCAAACTCGTCGAGGTAGTGCGCACCGCGGCGCACGGGCTTCCACATGCCGAGGTAGTAGATCGCAGCGAGCACAAAGCTGAGGATCTCGGCGAGAAGGAGGCAAAAGTACGAGATCCACTGGCCGATCGGCGGCTTGGCAAAGCACAAGACGTCGCTGACGCCAGCAAACTTGAGCCAGAACTTGGGGACGGTGAAGACGCCGTTGAAGGGCTTGGCCTGGCAGTGCAGGTCGTCCATGGTCTGCTGGAGGATCTGCGTGCACGAGCTCGTGGGCCGCGCTTGGTCGCACGGCTGGAGGCCGACCGTGAACCAAAAGACGAGCGCCGCGACTTCGACAAGGCCGGCGAGGAGGAAGAGAAAGTAGAGGAACCGGTACGTCGTCACGCCCTTCATCTCGTACTTGCGCACGTTCGGAAGCTTGCGCTCGATGACGTTGCCGGCGCCGTTCGCGACGATCGCCTTCTCGACGCCTTGGAACCACATGCGGTACTCCTCGTCCGACTCGGGGCAGAGCACCCAGA